ATTGCATACATTTTTGCTGCAATAGCTTTCCTCTCCAACTTGGCATATCCCAAATGTGCCACTCTCTAGACACTGCCACATCTGATGCTTTTCAACCTTTCATGCTTTCCAGATTTCCTCCTGTCACTGAACATGTATCTTCTAAATTACCTTCTCCAGTTAATTGCCTCAACTCACCAATTTACACCTCTCAGTATTTGGCAAGAGTCCTGCTTCCCTGCCAGCTTTCCCTTCCCTCCTTCATCCTACCTGTAAATTATTTCCTTGTTCTTCCTAGCCATCCAACTTCATTATTTCATTTTAGTTTTTATTTCTGAACTCCATTCCTTTCCTCTAAAAGGTCCCTCAGACGCCATATATTACTACATTCTACTTTGATTTCTTACAGACTTCAGTGCAACCAATGTGGTTTCATCAGTGCACATGTTCACACAGTGCCTTTGGAAACAATGCATTATTTCTTCTGCAGGGTTGTACTGGAGGGAAGAAGCAGAAACTCCTGTGCCACCACTATGAGATGGAGACCCAGATGGAGTGGATTTGTGACCCTACTGGCCTTTCTATGCTGGCCCATTTGAACATTTTCTCGGGTTCCACCTCATGGACCCGGCTTTTAAATCTCCATTAAGCTGCTTTTCTGAGATTTAAGATCTTTCTACCAGCACAGTCTCTTACCATCCACATCTAAAATTAACCTTTAATGGTGAGTCTCTAGGGTCTTAACCAGCCTGTTAACGATGACTGTGTACAAAACCCAACCAGCCCAAATTCACGTAATCATTATCCAGTATAGTCAAAGTAAGTGCTATTTCTTTCTGGTCATGAACTGACCAAAATCAGAACAAGAGCACTGCAGATGTCAAGTACTAAGGTATGTCAACAGATAACTGTGGGCAAGGCTACAATTTTCCACAGTCTTCCAACCTCATTGACCTGTGGCAGTAAGCAAGGAAAAAACCCAGCCACAAGTCATGGTAATAGAAAGGTCAGCAAAAGGTGAGCAAGGAATGGTAAAAGAGAAACATGGAGCGTTCTCCTTCTATATACATATATGCTGAGAGCCAAAAGAATTTCTATTTTCACAAAAATTTAAAAAGGAAGAAAAAGACACAGTTCTTCTGGGGTCTGAGCTCTGCCTCTCCATACAGAGGGCTCTGACAGCATACACTCAGTTTGTCTTCCTTAAGTCCTTCAAAAATGTTGATCTGATCTGGGTAAATACTGCCACTTCTGCCTTTGCTGGAAGCAGAAATCTTGCAATCCCTGCAATATTCCAATCCTGACTACTTTTGAAGTAGACAAAGATAATAAAATACCCACATCCATTCACATCTCTGTCCCACACAGAGATTTTACTTACTTTACTTCAAGAAACAGCAGGAATTGGATGGAAAATACAGAAGTAGGCATTGTAAATAGCTCCAATCCATGTTCTCTGTTTTTCTCTACTGAAATCCATAAAACAGCTTTATTTCTTAACGGGGTGCATCTTTCTCATTAATAAAAGATGAAAACGCATGTCTGCATTATTTAGTATACTCTATATATCCAACTTCTGCATATCCTTCAAAAGGCTCTCCTCTTCCTGACCTCTACGAAGCACCATTCAGGCAACTCAGTCAAAAAGATCCTGAGCAGCAAAGGCTGCAGTGCCATGGTAGCTTTACAGGATGAATTCAGTTTTGCCTAACTTGTCCTTAGAAACCTCCAGTGATGGATGTTGCAGCGTGCCCAGACAGCCTCCTCCCCTCCTCGCACATCCACCTAACGAGTTCCTCCTAATCTTGCTTTTTAAGATTTCCTGCAAACACTGACAGTTGCTTCTCTGTGGATGCAAAGAACGCCTGAGCGCTGCCCTTGTAGCATCCTCCCTAACACCTGCCCTCTAATTCACTGCAAGAAAGTATTACAAATGTTTTGTGCAGCTCCTGGTTTCTCTTCAGGGCTGTCAAACCATCATAATTTTTTTACTGATCTAACATGGCACAAGATGAAAACTAGGCCTTTCATCTTATAGCATCACAAAATCTCTGAAGTCCTGGCTCAGGAGGACACCTTTCATATCAGACCCTGGAAACACTGAGGTTACCCGGAGGTTGCCCTTTTATACCTTGCAGTGGTTAGCTTGCTGCAGGGCCCACACAAGCCCTTTCTCCACTTCCATAGATAAAACAATTGCTGCCCTTCCTTAACACCACGTTTTCTGAGAATATCACGACTGTGCCTTGCCTTGTTGCCAGCTGGCAACTCCCGAGCGGGTGAGCAGCTGAGCTCGTCCTCCCAGCCTTTTCAGTCAGAGGCTGCACAAAACCCTGCAGCAACTCAGCTGGCCCTACAGCTGCTTCTTCCCTCAAAGCAAGACAAAGCAGAGGTGCTGATGAGTTGGGTCCTACCTGCACTGGGGAGGCACTGGCCCTGGGTTCTCCTAGACCTCAGTACTGCTCCCATTTGTTTTCCTTTCACCAGATACTAACGTCTTTTATTTTTGCTACCTATTTTGTTTGCTGTTGTTGCTTTTTTATTCCCTGCCATCTTGCAGAGGTCTGTCCATTCATACAAATTTCAATTTTTCTGGTCTGCAGGTATAGAATTTACCTTAATTGCCTAATTAAGATGTCCATCCTTGACATTAAGCCTCTACACAAGTCACATTGAAAGTACACACTGAAAATTTCTTAAGTCTGCAGGATTTGCAGCTGAGATAACCAAACACAGTTGCACAAGTTATGGATTTTCAATCAACATGAATGCAAATATCAAAAAACACATATAAATTCTCTACGCAAAGGTACACTGGAAAATTAAGGTTTACAGGCAGAGAGTTAAGGATAGTGGGGAGAAACCTCACATTTACATGAAAGACATCAATAAATAAGTAATTTTAAAATTAGCTTAATTCAAAAATAACTGAATCCAGTTTGCTACTGTTATTTTAAAAACCCTTTTATTTCCCCTCTTCTCTCTCAAGCTTTGACCAGTTATTTACAGACCAAGCTCTGCTTCAGTTAATTGTTTTGTCTGGAAATACTAATTAGAGATCAGCGATTTTCACTGATATCATTACCACAGCAAGTCTTGAGGAAGAGCCTAGAAACTTGCTTCTTCTTTTTCAGAGGCATATACAGCTTTCAGAGTGTCTTCTCACACTGAGTTCATATTGACTCAGACATCCTTCATCCTTCTGTATTATTACCCCTAAATCATAGAAATTACATCAAAGAAACCATAAGGGTCTGACTTTTATCACCAAAGTAAATTCTGATTTAATGTACTTTCTGCAATACTTAGGCACAATAGGATACATGATTAGCGCATAGTGGAGCTAGTGATATACCCACCACGCCTTGTTAACTGAGGATGCATGGTATAATTCCAGTTAAAATTTGAACTTTGTTGCTTTTATGGGTTGGGGCTACATATGCATTGAAGACTGGACACACAACATCCATTATTGTTATAAGCGGTTGCACACACAATCAATGATGTTTAACAGAGAAAACAAGCTTTATCTGATTTAATTTCTGATTTTAGAAAACCTAATAATCCTAGCCCACCATTTAAGTAAAACACCCTGAAAACTACTCACAATTTGAAAGAAGCAGAGCTGTCAGACAGTGGTAAAAAAACAAAACAAAGCGAAAAACATCTAAGCACATGGGAATTTGACTGCAACCAGTAGGGCGGCTTACACCCAGTGGGATAAGCACGTGTTCAAATGCTTTCATAGACTGGGACCAGAACCCAGTAGAATCAACTCCTAAGACCTGATTTTGAGCACAGACACGTGTACATATTTTAGGTGGGTTTTGTAAGAGAGAGAATGTTATTAAATTTGTTTGACAGATCCCTATTTAAGATGCAGATTTACATACCAGATGCCTGCCTGAAGCTGAATATTTCAGGGGAAAAAAACTAAACAAAATGGTTGGATCATTTCTGAGAAAAAAAATAATTTGATCTGACATAACCTAATTTCTGAGGTTTTTAATTTGCAAACTTAAGCTGTACCCCCTCATACTTCTCCATAAAATACAGAGGGAGATACCTTAGTCTCTAATTTGTGCTATGGGTAATCATATGTGTGTTCATGCTATAGGTTAAAAACCTCCACTGTTTTAAAATGTAAAAGTATTTTAGTTATAAAATTAAATTCTAGGAGTAAAAACACTTTTTTATTTCTATATATTAAAATTTAATCTCCAGAATAATACATATATAGGTTCACTGTTCCTGTTAAGAAAGCACCCACACCACCTCCTTTATATAACATTCATTCACTAAGCCTGGCGTTGCCTGATGAGAATATTACAAACAAACCTATGAAATGTGTTTTTTAAATTAAAAGCCCATTTTGTGATCTGGCAATGGGAAATAAGCAGCGATCAGACTGTTAAGTCCAACAATACTGAACTGGCACTTTGTCTGTGGCACAGATTTCACACTTATCTGCATGCTTAAGTGCTGTGCTGGACAGAAACTAAATGACAGTCTTCCAAAACAAACCCAGAGGGGACCTGGACAAACTCTTGTTATATCAGGGGGTTCACTCTAATAACATGTTAGATCAGAATAATGAAGAACTATCCTATTTGCGTTCAACAGAAATAGACAGTAACTCTGTGGCAATTATTTCACACAAGTCAATGTTCTGGTATCTCAAAAATACCCCTGCAAAACCCAGCAAATGACAAGAAAGGCAAGCTGTATGAAGGTCAGCCTTGTGCAATGGTCTGCCTAACTTGGCTAACTATCAGTGAAACAACTCCCTTTTTGCTGCTGGATCTGCTCAAAACAGGTTCGTTACAGGCAGGATTTGTTTCAATGAACTTAGCTGCAGGGTGAACTTCAGTAGGATCCTTTGAAAGGCAAGAGGTGATTTCTTGGTCATGGCAATTGTGCTTTTGACTACAGTCGGAGGAGGAGTAGACCCTCTGTCAATGTTACTCTCAGGCTCTGATGGTAACTGCACACACTCACTCAACACACAGTAAATGCTTCACCTTGCCATGCATGAGAAGGCGTATGGTAAGCGTGACATTGAGACCTCCTTCAGACACTTTTCCGTCCTTCGTGTTCATCCTGGCCTTGTATCTTCAATACTTGAAAGTAGCTTCGTTTTTCCTTTTTTTTTTTTTTTTTCTATTCACTTAACCTACAGAGAGAGAAGAAAAAGAAAAAAGTACCAATGAGTGGCTGAAGCTACTCTGAACCGAGAATATCATGTTGTACAAACCAATTAACATTCCTTCCTTTGATTTTCTGGACTACAGTTTAGTGTTGAAAAGGCTCCTTTGATTGTTATCCCTCCCCATCCAACTCTAGCCCTTCAACAATTAAAAGATAAACTCCCTTTTGAAACCTTCAAAATTTTCTTAACTTCCTGTACTTCTAAGTCAAAAGTACAGCACAGCAGAGTGAAAAATGATGTTTTCTTGTGAACAGCGCTTTAACCTTTGCAGTGTGTATATAAGATACACAGATATATACGCATGTACTTTTTACATGTGCCTTGTGCTGTTTTCATTTCTCTCCTTGTTACTATCTCTCCCTCTTTTTGCTCTTGCAAAAGAGATATTTTTGTTTTCTCTCCAGCTAGAGAGAAATTAATTCTGAGCCTAAACACTGATCCCTGCCAGCAACAGCGGATGACACATTATCAAAGACATCTGAATAACTAAAAACCACTTGCTGTTGTAAATCTGGGCACTGTCTGACTTTGTTTTTGTCTATGAGGCCCAGAGGTGGATCAGTCCCTCAAAGGCCAAAGCTGAGCTTCAGCCCTCAGCAGAAGGAAGATTTTTCTTAATACCTAATGACAAATTGCAGATTTTCAGTCATTTGCAAAGCCATAAATATCCTAAAATGCTAATGAAAGCTGCAAGGACTGGCTTTGAAGGGATAAACAAGATGCATTATGAGTTTATTTATTCAAGGAAATTTATCAGTACAAACAAAAATGGGGGCAGGAAGGAATATTACAAAGGGCAGGCAAATTCCACAGTAGAAAAGGCTTAGCAACTCCTTATTCAGTTTTGTCCTTTTCAGGCTTATCTCATAGAGCATAAAACCCTTAAGAAGACATCGAGCTTCTAAGTAACCATCCCTTTTTGTTACCCATCCTCTCTAACAACCCTATTAGCTTTGCGTCTTCAAGCTTCCCAAAAAATTGCCATGCTTATGCACTGGCTAATGAGCACTCCTAGGGACAACCGTTTCGTGTTTTAGAGTGTACAGCAGTGTTTCATTAAGGTGGTAGGCTACTGTACCCTTGTGGAGATTGCTCAGGCATGGGACAAAACTAGCAGAGGGACCTATGGGATCATTCCTCTAAAAATGCTGGAGGAACTATCATGCAGACTGTTTCACCCTGATTACACTGATTACACTCCAACTTAAGAGCCACTAAGCTCTTTACTGGACTAAAGTGAAGCCCACCTTAGCTGAACATGTGTGAGAGCAGTCAACAGCAATGTTTAAAGAAAGAGCACAAGAAACATATATGGAGTGATTCCTGATGGACTGATGAGCTGCCAAGCAATCATGGTCTTCTGGGAGACTGCATCCAGACCCACATTTTCAGTAGCCATTGGCAGACCACTCTTCCAAGAATTTGTCTATTGCCTTCTTGAATCCATACATCTGGTCTCCAACAGTTCTGGTCTCACAGGTTTATTATTAGTGTGGAAAAAAGTGCTCCGCTCTATCTGCCTTAAATCTGCTAACTGAAATTTCCCCTTGTTACACATTTTGCCCTGTGAGTACTATCTTAAGGACCATCTCAGAAAGTCACTCATCTTACTGCTGAAACTTCTCACTTCAGCCTGAGCCTGCGAGTGGCCAAACCACTCCTGACATCTTTGCCAGTGGGAAACACACTGTAAGATGCAGAGTTTTCTCTCAAGCCTCTGTAGGGAGTACTAAGGGCCACAGGCAGTTTCTGTTGCCTTCAGTGACTATAAGTAGCTGACATGCCTGGGGAGAGGTGAGAAGAAAGAGGAAGAAAGACCAACTTAAACTCCTCTTTCCTCCTTCATGATTTTCCCTTACCCAGTGTGGACTCAGTGTCTTTAATACCACATGATCCATCACCCAGCCTGTGGACACTGATATAAATCCATTTATTCCACATTTCTAGGCTTATCACTTATATTACGCATTTCCTATCCTGATGGAGAAAAGGGAGATGAGAAGCCAGGTGGCTGGATGAGAAGGCAGAAAACAGAAGCAGCCTGGCCATGTTTCTGATGCATTATGAGTGCAAGAGGGTGAGAGGAAAATGTCCCAGGGCAGATGGTAGGGAAAGGCAGAGAAAGGTATTAGGCTGCATTCTGCTTCTTTAAGGTTAGACCACAACTCACAGGAAAACCTGCAACTGGATGACTACAACAGTCCCTCCCAACAAGTTCAGAGTGAGGAGCAGAGTAGATGACTGTGGTTGTTCCCAGACTAAGAAAGGCAAGAGTCTCACACTACTCACTTACTCTTTGCTGACAAAAATGTTCTGGCTCTGACAGCCCATGCATTTTTTGCTCAGCTCTGTCTAAGATAACCCAAACAAACCCCAAATGCCAAATCTGAAGCATTGCGGTACATGAACAGTAGAACACATCTTGGCATTCTGGACTTTATGGGAGCGATGCTGGCCATCTGAGGCCTCTAGAAACCCATGGTAGCTTTAGGGCATACTTGGAAGATTTCAAGAACATTTGTGTTTCAAGTAGAAGCAAGGTATTTAAGACCTTCCGTGGATCAAAATTTAGTGATCAAGGTATAGCTATGTTTCTAATGAGACATATTCCCATGTGGAAAAATACTTCCAGACAAGTTTATAGCTGCCATGGCTTTTTACTACTGTGATGCTACAGCAGTGTGTTCACTTTGGAAAAAAAATTAGAACAACTCTTTACTCCAACAACAAATCACACCCTACCCAAGCCTGATCTTTTCCAGATCTGCTGACCTTTCTCCTGAAAAAAATCAGCAATAAAGGCTAATGCCTTTTGTGTTCTTTTTTTAAAAAACAGAGGCTAAAAATGAAATCCCATCACAAATATAATTAAAAATATCACTGCTACCTAATTTTTTAAAGGATTTTCTTACTGTCCCTCCTCCCAACAAGCTTAAAACTCTGGCACCTGGTACTAAGAAGCAGAACAGATGTCTGGGGGAGGGCTGAGAGTGTGTGTGCCTGCAAGGAGTTAGGCAGCTGTGTGAGATACAAAAGGAATTAATTCAAAAAGGCAGTCTCACATGGTAAGGAAATATATGAAACCTGTACAGACACCATGAAGAGAGAAGATTTACTACACCAGGTCATTTACATCTGCCTCAGTTATCCTGAGAGTGCAAGTATTCTAGATAAAACATTTACACTTTTATAAAGGAAACCTCCAGCACTGTTAACTACCTGGGTATTTCAGTTTTAAAGAGACAGATTAAAACAAAACGCATTGTTGTACTTCATTATTTTTAACTAATTAAAGCAAAATTTCCTGCCCACAGCATTGCAAACGTGCTGATCTAGAGCTCTGTGAGCATGCAGATTTCAAATCACAGCACAAGGAAGGGAATGGTTTTCTTTCACAAAGCCTCCTACCAGACAGCAATACATCTGTGTATTTATAAACCTACTGCTGTAATATACGTGTTCATTGTGAATATCTAATCAGTAAAATAATTTCCCTCTCCTTTGCAAAATCAGTATTTTGAACAATTTGCTACATTCCTGGCTTACATGTGCCTCTCTGCAAGCAAACAGAAGGCTGGGAAAGCTGAGTCTGACACTGAAAAAAATCAGTGTGTCACACTTTTCATGAATGCCAGAGGAAAGTCAGTGGACTCTACAGGTGAGCAGAGAGCACCATGCAGGCAGATACAGTCACTGGCATGGTTAAATCTTAAGAGTGAGGGTATATTCATTTTAGCCTGCTTTCAGTAGAGAACTGGCAGTGACAGGAGGACAGCTGAACAACATCATCTTTCTGACCTTGGGACTCCGGACCAGAATGCATGTCATAGTTCGTATTTTTAGCAAAGAATTTTTCTTTCCTTTCCTCCTGCCCGTGTGTGTGCTCTGTGATGGGCCATTTTAGTTGAACAAAAGAATCACCCGGAGCCCTTAACGATGGAGATTTGTCTCCTTGACAACGAAGGGGGGAGTTGGCTGGTGTGTGACTGGAAGGGGGTGGAGGCTGGGGGGGGAGGAGACTCTCTCTCTCGCACTGCCGGGGTGAGAGGCTGCTGCGGGCTGCAGACACTGCCGGGGCTCCTTTGTTTCTTTTCCTGTCGGAGGGGAGTTTCTGGCGGCTGCTCTTGGCTCACCTCTGGCTGACTACAAGCTCTGCTTACAACGGACCCTAATCAGCTGAAGTTTGTGAGTTTTCTTCCATTGGGAGAACTTTCTGTTTTATTGCTGTTGTTCCCCCCCCCCTCCCCCCTCCCCCCGGTGGCAGCCAAGGATCCAACAGCGCCACCTGGTGACGGGCACTGGACATTACAAGTTCAACTCCTTCAGTGATCCAACAGCGCCACCTGGTGACTATAATAGGACACTACAAGTTTTTTACACCTTCAGTGACCCAACAGCGCCACCTGGTGAATGGTACAGGACATTACAAATTTTGCATCTCCAGTGACCCGACGGCGCCCCCTGCTGACTGTGGTTGGAACAGCACCAAAGGGTGCAAGAAATTGAACTATTTCTTTTTTTGCCGGTTTATCAGTTTTGTTCTTGAAGGGGATTATTGGTGGGTATAGGAGTATTACTTAGTTATTTTACTTGAGTTTTTTTTTCGTGTTCCTGTTAATACACACATACCTTTTAATAAAGGGCTGTTATTTTCCCTTTTCCATAATTTGTTTTCCTTCAATTGGAGCCTCTTAATTTTGGATTTATAATTGTTTGGAAAGAGAAGTTTGGGTCTTTTCCTCCTAATTCATCCTCAGCAAAAGACCCTTGTCTCATTTAAACTGGGACATCTTTTGGCGCCCAACGTGGGGCCCGAGAGAGGAAAAGTGGAAAAGGAATAACTGCCCTTGTGTGACTTGATATGTGTTTGTGAACCTATAGGCACCATGAAGTCTAAGATCGCTGCTTTTCTGTGGTATATAATTATGCCGAAATCTATGTCCCACCTGTCGATGTTTTTCAGC